TGAAGATTAGTTCAAGACATGATTTGATTTTTAAGCAATTTTCAGAGCTCTTAGGCAAAGTGGAAGAGGTGTTTCCTCTCCCCCCCCCCCGCTGTGTTTTCCTACTTCCAAACAAGTGATCCAAACCAAACACAGTATTTGTTGGAAAGTTTCAGCATGCAGCAAAATGATTAAGAAGCCCCACATATTTAAGGAAATCTGGCCCATTAAAGAGATTTTACACTTCTAACCAACATGTCTTTACAAATGGAAAACTGAAATGGCTCCCTCCAAGCTGTGTGCCTCAAACTTGCAAATTACACTTGTACTTATTTCCCAACAAATCAGAAAACAAGAACTTGCAGGCTACAGGGGGTGAGAAAAGTGGGTGACAAAACATAAACCTTTCAACACTTAAATTCAAAGTCACTTAATTTAAGTGAATTCAAATTCACTTAAATTCCTAAATTCAAAGGCACTCAATCCATATCATCTAGTTTAGCCCACAGTATGATTTTTTAATAGCCAGTCACCAGCCACCAGAGTTCAAGAGTTACAATGGAGATACATTACAATAAAAAGGCAAATCTTCATATTATTCAGATGAATCTCAGACAAAAACCTATATAAATGTAACTGATTTTGTGCACACAGGGAAGAAAGTCTGATAAATTGAGACTGGAGCAAATAAGGGACAGTTGAGGTAATTTAGGATGTCAAACTAATCTCTACAAAGATATTAGGATGGCTTAGCTATCCAGAAAAAAATTATACCCCGCCCTCATCCAGTAAAAATAGATGATGTATTTAACTCAGCTTCTATTCTAAAACTATTATACATGGCAAAACATTTATTTATCCGTTACACTTCTAAATTCTGAGATTATAAGAAAGATGGAGAGAAACAACAAGGTAATCCCGTGTGTTTCATCACTCAGTGGAGGCCAGAGCCTAAATCACCCATGTTCCAGTGAAGAACTATAACCATTGCACCACACTGCCTCTTAGCAGACATCAATAGTGGAAACATGTGTATTACAAAAAGCTATAACCACTTTGGCCTAATTCCCAAGCCCACCCATCTGGCAAGAGTCTTATAGGCTCAGTAGGCGTAGTTCTACATAAGTGTATCCAAAAGGCTCGTGCTGGCTCTTAATCCCATTTTAGAAGAAAAAGGCAGAAATGTGCTTCAGAGCATATTCACTGCTAGCCAAGATTAGGCCTAACAGCCTTCCTATTTGTTGAAACCAAATGAAGTTACACTGTGACCAAACATGTTTCAGTTCATGCCAGTTTTTCCCATCTCAAAAGCCTAGCCTTGAGAATGGGTCCCTTGCTGTTTTGGTTAACAACATTGTGCTATTGAAATGTCAATCAACTGCTTGAGGACACCCAGACAGCATAAAAGAGGTGAATTGCAATGAGATCTCTGCATGGCAGCCCCAACTCTTCCCTGTCTGCAGTACACCAGAAGTGAGAAGGACAGAACACTGGAGTTACACTGCAAGACAAGGGAAGAATCCAGCCTCTCCAACTCCAGAAGGAAAACTAGCCAAGAGATTATTTTAAAATTCAGTTCCACTCTCAGATACGATTGTAAAGGGACAAAAGAATTTCTAGCATGTGTAATCTGTAGGCGGGCAAGCCACAACAATGACTGCTTTGCACTCACACATGAGACCCAGAGCAAAGAAAACAGATATGTATAGCTTTTTAATTCAGGGCTTCCAAGTGTGCAGGGGGCGGATGCAGGGGGTGGGAAACTTTGCTAACCAATGTCATAAAAGGATGCATTTGCCACAACTGCTTAGCTGCCCAATTCAGAGAGTAGAACAAGATTTGGTTCCCCTCCAAGAAACTGATAGGGCACTTCATACAACGTTTCAGCCCAGCTTTCTGTTGCACCACTACCGTTATTGAAAGTTCAGACCCCAAGTCCTCTGGGGAGCCATAATTTCCACTCCTCCCCTAGTATATCCAATCCTCCCCTAGGTTTTTTTATATCAAAGTGGGCAAACTCCAGAGGTCTAGGGATTGAACACACCCATCCACGGACATTGGAGGATTGTGGAACATTAAACTTTTTGTGGGAATGTGGAATGCTGAGGGACGGGGTGAACGAGGGGCATATTTTTCCCACTACTGTTTGAGACTTTTAAAAGTTTCCCTTTTTCTTTTCTCTTTTTTTAAAAATTGATTGCTTAAGTAGTCATGTCCTCTTTCTTTCTTTTTAAAAAAAAGTCCTTTAAAGGCTTATAATTGGCTGCAGACGGGGCAACAATTGGGTGCATAGAGAAAACTGCAGCTATCCAGAGCCCTGAAGGGGCACAATTTATATTTTAGGGCCCCATTTTTCCAAGAATACCTTTGCGGGGCAGGGGGCTATGCAGTTCACCAAGGACCCAGGGAAGGCAAAACATCCTCTGCACCCCTGGAAGTTGCCCACTCTCATCATAAAGAGGGATGGACATTGGTAGAATGATGTCATTATTTAGCATAAGCTCCACTGCACATGTGACTGTACATTTTCAGACTCAGTCCAAAGTGATATCCAATACAGTTTCATATTCTGGCACAACAGTTTGTACAAGGGTTTGCACATCTGTTTTCTCAACCACTTGTGCAACAGTTATCACAGTGTGCAAATTAGAAGTTGTCACTCCCGTAGTGTCATGTTGGATTCTGGTCACTTTGAGAACTATTTTAAAGCATCTAAGAAAGAAAAGATACCAAGAACCCCTTCACTCAATGACATTTTTCAGTTACTCAGGCTTTGCACTCTTAAAGCAATAGCACAACAAACAGCCACCCACTGGGCAAATTACATCTTGCAAGCCAATGTTCATAATGAAGATCTGATACTGGGGGTCACTAGACTTCAACAAAAGAGCAATAGGTAGATATTGGAGGCTGAGATTGCTCCACATTACCCTACAAGATTATATTAGTACCTATCTTTTCAGACATGAATCTGGTGCCAATGAAAAGTACAAATATTATGCAAAGTGTACTAGTACATTTCTTTCCCCAGTGGCATCTACCCAACCCACCAGATCACCCCAGGCTAAGCTGCTCTGTACAGCCACCCCAAGGGAGGCCTAAAAGTCATCTACAAGAGGCAGGGCCTTCTTTGTGGTGACACCGACATTATGGAACCAGCTTCTGGAGGAGCCATGCTTTCATTCAGGAGGCAATTGAAAACATTACTTTTTAGGGAGGCGTTTCACACCAATCCTGGCTGGATGTTCTGAATCCTGCTCTGCTTTGGGGGGGCATGGGAATTGTTTCTGGCCATGTGGTCTAATTTTACTGCTATTTCTGTCTTAACTTGTTGCTGGTTGTATTTCTATATTGTTTTTAGTTGTTTGTAAACCACTCAAAAGAGTGTGTATGGACTAATAATAGCCGCCCCGAGTAGACATGGTCTAGAGGGGCGGGGTAAAAATCAAATAAATAAATAAATAATATGGCAATATATAAATCAAAGTAATAAATAAATAATAAATAAATAAAATTCTTGCCAGGAACACTGTCATACAGATAGGCATGTCTAGTTTTGTACTTTGAAAATTACATCTAAATAAAAGTTCCACACTAAAGGTAATGAAGTACAGCTTACAGAGTAAAAGATGGGGAAACGTTGGCTCTCCAGATGCTTTGCATCATCAGCCCGTCCAGTATGGCCAATACTGAAGTGCTAAAATTTGAAATTTTGTATTTACAAGATGTCAGAAATGATTAAAGGCGTGTAGAAAGGAGTGCAGTGAAAATGAAAGTATGTTTAAAAGTACATCTTGGGAAGCAGTTTGCATTAGTTCCAATTGTTTTCAAAACCATCAGCTGCTTTCCGGTCAGCCTGAAAACAAGGCCAATGATATAACACTGCTTTGATGAATTTCATTCACGTCTTCCAGTTTAGCACGGAAGTAAAGTAAAAAAATGTAACGAGTGGAACCATGTTGGTAATGTGAAAATATGAAAATAGCATTTGTAAGTCCAATAGTACACCCTACTGGTGTTCGTAACAGAATAATTTAACAACAGTTCAGAATCCTGCACCCTTGATACAATAAAACCTTGCTGGTTTAAGGGTTTAGAATTACAGGTTATTGGAATCGTGGAGGCTTGCATAATAATGGGAGTTAGCCAACTGCAGCCCCTAGAGGTTCTTGTACACCTGAGGATATGAACAGGAATAGACCAAGTCTAATGGCAATCACACGTGTAGCATTTCACAAGTTGCAAGGAAGGATTTTGTTTAAGCATTTGTGTCTACGGTTGTCTACATAGCAGTAAGACTTTTGTATTTAACAACTCTGAAGTATTTTGTGCATACAGAACATAGAAGCAATATAGATAAATAAAGCTTGTACAATTAGATAAGCTGAGTAGAACAGTTGGATTGCTCAGTGGCTTAGGTATCTGGCTGTGGAGTCAGAGGTGGGGAGTTCAATTTCCCACAGTGCTTCCTTGACAGGGGCTGGACTCCCTGACCCACAGCTTTCCTTCTAGCTCTGCAGTTCTAACATGATGATGATGCCTGGAATTATTGCAACAGTGAAAATATATATACCAGATTAATTGTGATTTGATTGTCAAAGATTGTTTGGTTTCATTCTAGAATCAATCCTTTCCTGGTATAAATCCTAGCTGTGATGAATACAGGTTTCTAATTTTTCCCCCCGGGAGATCTATAAAGTCATTTAGGACTTCTAGGGAACGTCAAGCATCAGATATCTTATTTGACAACAGGATTTTAATGGAAGCTTTAATACAAAACAGATGGCAAACCAAATGTTCCCCACTCCTTCTCTATATTTCCCTGGAAACATTTATATTTGAACAATTTGCATAAAACTAAGTTTCCTGGAAATCTTTCAACAACATACTTTAGAGAACTTGCAACTTAGCAAAATGTTATCAATTTGTTGGTTGGTTACAGTATATATATCAAATATATTGATAATGTAAGCCCTCATTAGATTCCAGTCTTCCAGGTAAAAGTACACATGAAACAGGAGCCCAATTCATTGCATTTATTTGAGTAAATATCTGGTAAATAAAGTCATTGATAAAACATTACAAAATTAAATACATTTTAAAAAGCTTGCCAGTATACATAAAGTTCACAACCATGTATTTCTTCTTTTAAAAAATAAAATTATGTTCAGAGCACCCTTGATATAAAATGCCAGCCTAGCATCTACCAGCAGATGGTAGCTTGTGAAGCATTTTAGTGAAGAATGTTTTCCTGAAGAGTTAGGGATCCTGCTTCTAACAACGACAAACCAGTCCCACTTGCCCAAGCTGCCAGATCCAATGCCAAAGCCAGAAATGTAGACCTAAAGCCAGCATCACACTGACTCCCAATTGCTGGAAGCAACAAGGCTTTTTCATGTATGGCGACTACATAGCTTATGACTACAACTGCATTGTCCACCACACCCTCCTGCACTACACAAAAACTGCCTCTGGAGGGTCTCCCAGTTCTTTGGGGAAAGTTTTACATGAATGTGGGGAGTCAGGAGGGGCAAGTCCAGCCCCCCAAGTTCCTCTGATGAAAGCAGTTTCATAAATGGAGTGATGCTGTTGGCCACTTGTCATGGTCCTATACTCTTGCCCTTAGACAAGACATCTGGAGGACCAGTGCAAAAAAGAAGTACTTGGCCACCCTCTCGTTTTGCATTTCATGTGCATTTTCCCTACTGAGAACCTCATCCTTTTCTCATTGCTGCATTAGACTCTTCAGCAGTAGGTTTAAAACAATCCCAACCGAGCACGAGATGAAGAGAAGATGATCTGGCTAAGCCTCAATGTCAGTAACGTAAGTTCAAACCTATAAAATCAAGCCCTTAAATCCCCCACTTGCTCATAAGTTGCTTTTGTAAATGAAGGTATTCAACCCAATGCTTTAAATGCTTTTAAAAATTGTTGGCAGCAGCCTCTTTAAATTGCATCCCTCCCTACCCCCAACATCATTGCTACAACTTCCAATTAAATTGTTATCTAGACCACACTTCTCTTCCACTCAATGTAAAGCAATGGTAACACACTCATTTAATAATTGTATGTACATAAGCACAAGAACCTTAACATCCAGGAATCTGGTGTACAACTTAATGAAGATCCAACGGGTCATAAAGAAACAGCATCTCCTAGCAGTTCCAAACAGAATTGATCAGGTAGAATTACTGCCTGGGACAGCTAAAAATGTCTCTAAATTTTGGTGTGTTCCCACCAAATCTGATCATCCTCAGGCAGCAAAAGCAGCATCCATGATGTTGATATCCATGATGATGATGATGATGATGATGATTTTTTTTACAAAAATGACACTTTAAAAAAACCCTTAAAAACAGAAATGGTCAAATTCATTAAAATGTCAGAACTCAATTCAAAAAAGTAAGAATAAATTGCTCATAAAGACCAAACTTGAAGTTGTTCTACTCAAAAGTCCCAGTATCATGGCCATTTCTCTCAAGAGGATTCCATTTTCAATTATATACTCTTCTTTTGAGGAGGGCTCAGTTTCCTCATCCCTCTTATTCGAGTCAGCAATTCTTTGATGAAATCCTATAGAAACAAAAAGGGGAAGAAAGTATTATAAAGACCTAAAGACCAACACTGAGACTTCTAAATCTTCATTTGATCCTTCACGTTTTTATTGTTGCATGAATAATAGGAACCAGTTTTCAAAATATTAAGGTATGGCTTCCCCAAGGTATGAATTAAGGTATGGGCTTATCAAAGCACCACTTTCCAATTCCAATGACCTTGATGGAATGAACATAGTTGCCACCAGGTTCAAGACAACTACGAACCCACGAAAGAAACACACTGGCAGCCAAGGCTGGAAATCTCCTTTCCCAACCCGACTGCAGCAGCCTTGGTAGTGGCAGAGGACAACCGGTTCCACCAAGGGCCATCTTTGTCCAAGTTTAAGGCTTACTTCTACCTCTTTTCCCAGTCATTTTGGTGGGAGAAACTGCTCCCAAAACAAGCTTCTAAAGTGGCGGGGAAGGAGCTGACTGAAACAAGAGCAAAGTTCCCTTTGGCATCTCTTCCGCTGGAAAAGAGGAGCCCCCATTCACCTCCCAAAGGGAGAGATCTTGTCGTACAGCTCCTGAAGTTGCATGGACAAAATCCACTGTCCCCTTATGATGGTCTCAGATGAGGACCACAACATCCTAGCACCCTGCCACACTCATAAAATTTTGTTGGCATGGCATACATCTCTCCCCACACATCAACATCCTTTCCACCAATTTATTGGTCCAGATGTATGGTTCACATTTGCATGTGGGACCCCTCTTGCAGAGGCCATGTGAACTATCCACTCGAACATGGTTGTACTGTTTTCTAGTGAGTGTGTCAAATGTGTCAGCATGAGCGCTTGGCCTCTGTTCCCCGCTCACTCAAGTTTTTTTCCTCCTCACCATGGAAAGTCTTTAAAGAGAGACAGAGAAAAATCTGGCTGCACTGTGCCATCCATCTGTTAGCATAGGGAAAAAATCTGCATTTGGAAACTCTGGTATTAACACCTCTGGAATATTTTGGACAGCTTCCGGTATTGAATCTATTCCCCCCCCCATGTCAGAGGTGGGTAATATACTCTGTGAGTTGCATCTGGCCCCTATGAGTCTAAATGTGGCCCCCAGTATCCCTGAGGCCCTCAGCATTGTCATAGAAGCAAACTATTGGCTCAAGAAACTTCCTTGTGCCCTCTAGAAGGGTGAGGGCAATTCTGACAAGTTTTGATGGTATCCCAGCACACCTGCTGTCCCCAACATCCCCAAGTTACCTTTAAAAAGAAAGAAAGAAAAAACACTGGCTACTAAAGAGACCAAGAGGGCTTTTTCAGTGCCCTACCCATTTGTGAGAAAATGCAGAAGGGAAAAGGTTGCAGGAGCAGCCCACCAAGATAAAAAAAATAAGACCATGTGGTCCCCGGGAATCAGGGGTTGCCCACCCCTGCCCAATAGTATGGAGTTAATTCTGACGCACATATAAACACCCACACATTGTTTTGTAAGGACATGCAGTTTCTACCAAAAAGAAATCCATTCCTCCTTGAAGCTTTCCTAATAATCATAATAACAATAACAATTTTAAGTGATTTTCGTAACTCAGACTAAAGATTCCTGCTAGCTGAGGTGAAATCCTAATTCTAAGGATGAAACTTCACTTTTTCATGAACTCATGTAAATGGGACCCCACAAGTTCTTGCAGAAATGTGTGCCATGAACATGTGTTTCCCCTCAGTTTCAAG